CTTTTATTGACCGATTTCTTACCTCGCTGTCTATTTCTGCATCATCTTGCAAGATGAAACAAACTTAGCTGAATTCTTGGGTTTGAGGCAGCATGCTGCCGCTACTTTCATTGGTTTTAGCAGCTTTCAATCTGTTTTCCCCCACAGAAGGTCATTCTTCTCAACAGCTGTTCTCCATGCCTCGAATTTTGATTCTACAACTCCTCTGCTTTCGCTGCATAGTACAATGTCATTTGCATAGAGCATGCTGTATAGGACTGCTTCCTGCAGATCCCCAGTTATTGCATCTGTAGCCATCGAGAACAAAACCTGGCTCAGTGCAGATCGTTAGTGGACTCCTACCCGCACAGGGAACTCTTCGTTTCGTCGCATGTACCTCGAACTATCGTTGTAACTCTGTCGTACATGCCTTTGGCAAGCCTGACATTTTTCTGGCACAAGCTTCTTATGCTCCACCAGACAGCTTGCATCGGGATTCGGTCAAAGGCTTTCTCATATCTAGGAACACCATGCGAATGTCTTGTCTGCCTTCTCTGTATGCTTCGAGGACTGATCTTAATGCGAAGATGGCGTCCATTGTTGATCTGCTTAGTACAAAGCAAAACTGGTTCGTGATGATGTCGACCTGCTTCCTCAGTCTTTAGTCCATCACCATCTTATAAATATTCATGCTGTGACTAAGTCAGAGTCACGCTGTTTAATTCCCCGACAGTTTTCACAGGCGAGCATGTCTCCTTTCATTTTGTACATCGGCATCAAAATACTCTGCCTACAAAATCGTGTTCATAATGATTATGGGCCTTAATTCAATTAAATTTGTTCGACTATTCACAGAATTAAATAAGTTCGAAAATTCAGTTATCAATATACTAGTTCAGTTAATATGAAACTTGTACATGTTTCACACACCGTAAACACCATTTATGCCAGTTGTTCAAGACCAAAAAAATGGTGTGCAGCGGTGGCTCATGGAGCCTCACTCCCTTTAAAGGTAAAATTACGAGGCAGTATAATATACAGCATGTAGCCATTTCCATTCGATGCTTACATCGTAGCCGGCGATCAGCAGACCAACGCCGAAAGGTCTTCTGCCATACCGCTGGGTGTTGACCTGCATTTCTGAACAATAAAGACCATTTGAATAACACAGAAAACCAAAAATACGTGATTATTACTCGTCTGCAGATTGCTGACCAAAAGTGAAATCGGCATCGCGCCTTGATGTAGCCATCGCCAGCTAAGACATTCGCTCTGCATGAAACGCCTTAAAAAGAACGGCATAGTAGAAGTCGCTTTCAGCTGTTAGGGCTGAGATACGCGAGTAAGCGGGCGTCCGACAGAAGACCAGCGATGCTAACACCAATATGCTCATCCACCGAGTAAATTTTCTTTTGATGACCGGACAACTCGTGTGACGAACGCTAAGAGGAGACAGATTTGTAGAACTGAGTCACAGAACTCAGACCAAACATTATAGGCATAAATAGTCATAACACCTTTTAAAGGTAGTTAGCAATTTGCATAAGCATACAAAAATGTGCAACATATTTCGGTAGCTTCAAATATTACCATGCTGCCTTGAATAATTAAAGTTCCTTAGCCACACGAGTTGCGGACGCTCACTCGACCTAAGGACAGAAGACATTTCGGAAATGTAAGATCATATGATGCAGCGAAAGAAGCTACTATAAAACATTCTTAGCTAAAGTGTAAGAAAACAGCATGGAGCTTCAGAGCGCCCAAACCTTAGCAAAGATTATCTAAATTGAGGATAGCCCTCCCCTCCCGCCATCGTCATCAGATGGCAACCATAGGAAATATAGCTATCAGTTTGGAAATGAACCGTATATATTCGTCCAATTTACTCTTTGTTAGCCTCAAATAATGGTGATAAAATCAAACGCAGTCAGAACGATGTCTTTAATTGCAAAACGGCCTTTGAAATCCGGGTATTTTAGTATGTCTAGCATTTCACACCGGTCGAACTTTGAACTTTGACCAAACGCAAAAATCTCAAAAATTCTCTTAACAATTAATTCAAACTTAAATGCGGAAGGTTAATACAGAAAACAGCGTACCTTCAACGCCACTAAAACAGCATGCGTACTACTTTTAATTCCTACAGTGGCAGAACCTTCCGTCACAGCTTTATCGGCATATTCAATTTGATGGATCCTTCCCTAAACGAAACGTATTAAAATGAGATGAAGTGTCATTCCGAAGCACTGACAAGATAACATAAGTAATGAACGGCGGCATAGAGAACTAGCAGTTTGCTAGTAAACCCATAATGACGGCATTAATTTTTAAAATTATATGTGGCTACGGTCACAGCTATATCGGCTTATGTTCGAACAAGATACTGTTCGATCTAACAAAATGGTGCGGTCTGGCATCCAAGCACTGCAAGTGCTAAAATACTACGGAACCGTGGCCTGCTTAAACGGCCCATTACATTAGTGGAAGAAAGAGGAGGATACGAAAATGCCTTCTGAATCTGATATGTGACGGGACAGGGATGAAGTATGTCAACAGTGGTAGGTCGAAGTGTTGTAGCGTGCCAACGGCTCCACTGAACCTTCCAACTGCGCCCTTTTCTTCATTGTTCCAAGGAAGGAGAGAATAGAAGGTAACACCCAACGAAGGCTTGATCTCTATGACACCTTGCTCAGGCAGGACCATCGATTTCCGAACAATTCAGTGCCGCCATTACCAGAGGTCATAGTTTGCTTGCGCAACGTATCTTACGCAGATTTCACGTCTTCATTGTTACTGTTGTTGCGCCAACAAATTTATGACGGGAACAGTTCACAGTCAAAATATCGGGACAAATTTTCTTCGCGTTAAAGCACGTCACTGCCACTGAACGCTCTCCGTAATCGAAAATTTTTGCGCGATCACACATTACAACACAAAAACATGTTGTCAGAGTGTAGACAACCGAAGGATTTCACTTTAAATTTCATGTCAAAACTAGCATGCATTCTACAGCGATGATAGTAACGACTTGCCGTCAACGGTCATGCGTCACACATCAGCTTCGTCACTGACATCTGCTGCCTGAGAGAACAGTTGTACTCCCGCATACCACCACTACTCCTGTCTATTCGTAATACGTCGACGACACAAGAAAAACCGATATTCGAAACGAAAACAATCCATGTCCAAATTGGTACAAGCGGCGTTACTGCAGGGATCAAACGACTAAAAGCCTGGCAGATGGATGTAACTGCCGAGAACTCTAACTCTCGGCAATTATGGAATGAAGCGAAAGCAGCGTGTGGATATAAGCGAGACGGTATTCTGTCTAATATTTAAGCAGGTGATCTTAACAGATTCTTCTTCTTCACGAGAATGTTACGCAAAGGTGGCGCATATTGAACCTCCTCACTTCCGGAAGGGTGAGCAGGCATATCGCATTTTCCAGAACATTTATAGTAATCGCGAGTTACCCATCCATCATGTTCTCCGATAGCCACCAGCATGAAGCCTGAAATCACGCCATACACCATGGGAGCGAGCAACGACACCGCCTCTGAGTAGCGAGGAACGGTGGCGAGCAGTGGGACACTACAGCTGTCCATAACAAAAACCTAATCTCCAATCCGACCACAGAACCCCTGGCATGGACTTGAATCGCCTAAAATGATCGAGATTAAACAGGATTCGAACAGGACAAAGACGCTGTGGACACCTACTCCATCGCTGAAGTTCAACCCGCAGTGTGACTGCGGCAATAATGATCATACTACGGAGCACATCATTTTCGAATGTCCGCTGCGAAAGTTTGATGGCGGCATAACTGAAGTCCAGAATGCTACCGCGGCGGCCATTCACTGGCTAGAAATCTTGATACTGACCTATGAAGTTGCTAGTCATACGACAGAAGAAGAAGCACGCAAAGGTTATGGCATTCACAGACG